TTCAAGAATGTGAATTAGATATGCTAAGAACCATGAGCAGAGTGACAAATTCAAAGTCAGTATAGGATGAGCAGCTACAGGAGAAAAAAAAACTAAATTTATTTTTAACTGAACTTAAAAACATAAAATTTATACATAATGATGAGTACTATGTGGTATTTCAACACAAGTACACACTGCATAATATTTAAATCTCTTGCCTGTTTGTGTTTTTTTTTTATCTTTTTTGTTGCCAAGCATGGCATGAGTGCCTTTAATCTCAATACTCGGTAGGCAGGGGCAGGCAGATCAGTGAGTCCTAGGCCAACCTGGCCCATATAGCCAAGGCCACATGGTGATTTCCTCTCTGCAAGACGATGATGACTTGATAACAAGTAAAAGAGAAAACAAGACTTCCAATTTCTTTGAAAACTCCTATCATCCATTTATGAGAATTTTAATGAGGAAAAAATTTATCATTTGAAAAAAAAGTGATTAAAATATTAAGGAAAAAATACTGACCAGTCCAAAGGTTGGATCCTTAATTTGATGTAAACGCGTCCAAAATGCCAAGCGCATAGGCTAAAATAGCACTGGTCATGGGTCCCTAAAGGCCTCCCCTAGGACTCAGAATTCATGCCCCCTTCTAACTTTTCATGGTAGAAAAAGCGATTTGGAGTCAGGGTCTGGAGACTTAGTTCAGGTGTGCTGGCTAAGGCTGGGATAGCCCTAAACTCCTGATCTTCCTGCTGTGTGCTACTGTTCTTGAAAACAGGGTGTAATGATTTAACTAGACCCAAGATAAATGATAAATGGGTGTTTATTGGGGAAGACTTACACAAAAATACAAAGAACCGCAGTAGTGCTTCTTTGCCCTTCCTACCTGATCCGATGACCCAAGAGAAAGACCCATGCAAGCGAGACCACGCCTTAGGCTTCTCTTTTCCGCTTCCGCTTCCTTCTGCCTGAAGCCATGCCCAAAGGGGTGTGGCCACCGTTACAGGCAAGACTGCAACAGGTTGTTACTATGCTAGTCTGGCACTTTAACCACTGAGCTACGGCTCCAATACCCCACTGTAATTAAGCAGGAAAGGTCTGAACAGAAGGCCACAAACGAAGCTAGAACAAAGAGAATAGATTGCCATCAGCACAGAAACATGGCACCACGAGGGGAATTACTCAAATGAGCTTAGCACTGTACCAAATAAATATTAATCTCCCACCACAAAGAACCTTCACTTCCATTCCCCTAATCTCCATGACTAATTCAAATTGGCATTTTGCTTTCTGTAACATGGAGTCCAGCCAAAGCAATCTGACAAGCATAAGAAGGAAACCTAGGAGTTAAAGAAAGGAAAATACACCAGCCACAAAAAACACAGACTGACATCCTGGGCAAGAAAGGCCCCTTGCTGTCATCCTGAACAGAAGGCCATGTTTCAAACAGGTGGTAGGAGAACAAACAAACATTAAGAGAATCAGACTGGCACACTGCTGAGATATATTGCTAAATCCACACAAAGATGTTAGTACAACAAAAGAGTCATGTGAAGTCAGGCTGGACATGAGCAGAACCTGCTTTTCTTCCTGTGCTACCAATAGTCAATTGTTGCCAAACACCTGTATCCAGCCTCAGCTCTGCCCCAAACTCCAGATCCATAGAAACAGAACTCTAATTCACCTACTCTGGCTATCACAAAAGCTCCATTCCTGGTATCCAACACTGAATTTACAGCACCAGGGTTTTTCTTCAGCACTACTTTTTGTCCAGTGCTTCCTTGCTTAAGGTGATATCACCATCTTCCATCCACTTCCCAAGCCAGTAGCTAGAGGAATGGTGTCCAGTGCTTGAATTCGTCCATTCCATTTCCAGCTGTGATCTTGGGAAAACCCAATAAAGTATATACACCTCAAGCTTTGTCATCTAAAATGGAGGTTATAGTGTTACCCCCTTACCACCCCCCACCAAAAAGTTGTGAGCACTGAGTTAATACACACAAAATGGTAAGGACACAGAAAATGTCTTTGTACAAGTAGCTCGGTCTGCTTTCTTACCTGCTCCCCATTCTTACCCCTTTACCTCTATTCCTTCCCACTTCAACTGTTATGTTACTCCCCAAAGAAGCCCTCCTTGACTAACTCTAAAGTGCAGCATAATTTTCATTCACAACTATACTCATATATGGATTTGGTGACGGCTTGGTTAATAGGCATCTCCTAAAATAGCCTGAAAATTCCATGAGGATGGGACCTATTCATAGCATACCTCATTTAACACAGTATCTGGTACATTGCAGGTATTCATTCACTAAATATTTGTCAAGTGAAGGGTTCAAGAAGCATGCTACTCAGCAGAAAGGGGCCTAAACGGTTGGAAGAAAATCACAGGACACCACTACAAGCAAAGGTTCCAGGCCTTGCTTCCAAGGGGCTTGGTAGAAAGGGTCCCATGAGCTCCATCCCACCCCTGAGAAATCAACATTCACTGCTAATTTGTCCAGTGTTTCTAACCATTCAATATTTCATCTCTACAGAAACAAAGCATACTCTGCAGGAACCTTCAGTCCACACCTTAGAGAGCTTTGAGAGGAATCCCTTCAATCCCTTCCCTAATGCAAACACACCTCCCCAATTTGTGTGATTCTAGTGTTTAAAGGCACATATTTTTATACCATGAGAGCTCTAAAACACAGCCAAGTACTACATCTGAGGCTCAGCTGAAAAAACAACCTTCCATTTCAACTTGAGGGTAAAACTGATCTGTACTGGCCTTAAAAGAGAATGCCTTTGTTTTCCTTCTTTAGAGTCAGGGTCTTGAGTTTTAGAAGTTAACCTTGAACTCACTATATACACAGAGATGACCATGAACTCCTGACACTCCTGCCAGGTATACTCTGCAAATAACAGGCTTTCAAGAATACTTTCGTGATGAGGATGTAGTGGAGTAGTAGAATCCTTACCTGGCATAGGCAAGGCCATGGGGGCTATCCCCAAATACATACACACACACACACACACACACACACACACACACACACACACACACACACACACACACTAAGAGAGGGGGGATCATAACATCTAATTAATGTTCATGATGTGATCTAGCCTTCTTGTGATATGGGACTCTAATGTCAAGGCAAGTGTTTAATATGCAGACTGTGACACTGAATTGTTCTAAACTCAAGTTCAGGTTCTGACACATACTAGGTATGAATGTAATCTTAGATTTGCTGCTTGGCCTCTCTTTGCCATCTATCTATACTAATAGAGACAGCAGTTCCTAGAGCTTATAGTTATAGGGAACATTACATATATCACATATGGTTTAATGATTATCTTTTAGAGAGTTCTTAGCAAACAGAGCAGTGCTTTAAGATCAAGTTCTGTGTCATGTCTAACAGTGTCCTATGCCCAAAAGGCATTCACTGAGTGAACTCCAGAATCTTCTTCAGACTGTTTATTCTCTTCTAAGCTAGCAGCCCACTTCTTTGTGGGAGTTTCTGACTGTACTCATCTATTTTGAGTAGAGCTGCCTGTACAGAAATGGTCTATCTTCCTGAGTTCCACAATTGAAATGTTATAAAAACCACCACCCACTTCCTTTTGTCTTTCATGTTAAATAATAAACCTAACTTTTTGATAGTTTCTCTCTTGTGCATGTACACACACTCTTACGTGCATGTGCATACACGCATGCATAAACACACACACACACACACACACACACACACACACACACAACTTTCTTAATATACTTTCCCTAAAAAGGAACTTAGAGATACTACACAAGACAACACCTATGGACATAGGAAAAAATCAGAGATTTTTACCCAAAGGAAAACATGGAAGAATTAGAAACTGAAACTATCTAAGCTATGGTGTGACCAGAAGAAACTGAATATCATTATACCTGTGCCATAATATTTTGTATCTATTCCACGCAAAAAGTAGTAGTTGCTTATACTTACAGACCAATTGCTATCTAAATGGCATTGTCTGAGGCACTGTGAGAATACAGAACAACTGCAGCCTTCCAGAAGCTTACTACATAACTGGACACACAGCAAATGGAAAACAGTTAATTAGGCATTAAATGAGTAATAATAAAGAGTAAGGCAAGCAGGAGTCAAGCTGCTTTAGGAAATGTGGAGCTCTCCTGAAGAAAGTGCTCCATGGTTAAGCAGTTGGAAGGGTAGGGATGCTTTAGACACACTGAAGATCATAAACCTCTGGTTTATGGAGACTAAAAGGAGACAGAAACAGAAAAGATTTAAGAAAAATATACAACCAAAAGAACAGAAAGTGTAAAGCCTGAGTGATGAGGTAGTTTTATATCTTTCTTGCAAGAAAACAGAAAGCAAACAAAAATCCATGCTCCTCATTAGAAGACAATGAAATATATCTGACAAGAATGGATGATTTAGGAAGAGGAAGAAATCACTAAGTATGCGGGGAACAGTAAAGGGTCATGGGGGGGATACAAACACAGTATAATATATATGTATGAAATGTTACAGTGACCCTTGCCTGCAATTTCAACACTTGGAAGTGAAAACAAAAGGATCAGCCTCAGATACACAGGGAGTTTGACATCATTTTGGTGAGATCTTTTCTCACCTTACCCCAAAGAAGAAAAACATGTTAAAATTAAGCCTATTACTTTGTATGCTAGCTTTAAAATATTTAATAATTTTAAATGCTATATTTCTTTCAGGATTTTCTTTCTAAGAGTTGTTTTTATTTTTAAGTATGTGTATGCATATCTATCTGTGTGTGGGTTTATGAACATGCATGCAAGTACCCATGGAAGCCAGAAGAGGATGTTGGACTCCCTGGAGCTGGAGTTACAGCTGGTTGTGTGCTGCCTAATGTGGGTGCTAGGATCTGAACACTGGTCCTCTGCAAGAGCAGCAAATGCTCTTAACTGCTGAGCCATGTCTCTATCCCTAAATGCCATATTTCCACAGTATAATTTTCTTCCAATTCTGTCCCTGACTTAAGCCCACATCATTACTTACCCGAATAAGAGATGCCTGACGACGAAGGGGTTTGGCTCCTGGACCCTCTGATGAGGATCCTTCAGGCTGGCCAATGGGCTGCCTAGTTTCATAAGGAGCTGAAAAGCAAGGCAGAATGTTAGCAGGGTATACAAAGATTCTACTCCAAAATTATTATTTCACACTCAAAGTGATGCAGCATGTGCTTTTCAAGGAAAAGGTATGAAGGAATTGAAGTTTATAACCAGAGAGCTACCCAAGACTCATAAATCCTGATCTTCTTGCCTTCATAATTTCACTAAAGATATCTAACCAATATCACTCACATCAGGTTAAGATTAGGAATAAAATGAGAGAGCCTCAATGACCTTTAGAAAGAGTGAATCAATAGCTAGAAATGTGCCACATTGCAAGTATTCATTTTTTTACTCCTGCCTTTTTGTGGTCTATTGGGCCATGTTCTGAAGTGGTGGGGTTCACTTTGTGTTCATTCATGGTTTCAAAGGATGTGACTTTCGCCTAGAATGAACACTGGCAGTAGGTCACAATTAATCAAAGGACTGATTTGAACGATCAGCAGCCCCAGCCTTAAAAATTGTATCTAGGAAATGATGGTGCTTTGCCTGGATGGCTGGCAGGTTCTTTTGACTTCCTTCATCTTTTCTCCTAGTGGGATCAAAATTGAAGTGTGCTATGCATTATTCCCATTGAAACTTCTGTCACTTAAAAAAACAATGAATTCAGATAGCAGTTTCTCCTTACCAATTTCATGTCATATTCAAATCAAGTTTACATTTATTTGGGGAGAGAAAAGTAAAAGGGAACAAGCCTTGGATTTAAAAAAATGAATTAGGAAAAGAAAAACTCAATTGTGCATCAAGTAGAAAACTCAGAAATCCAGAATAGTTTTTCCCCTGGTTGGATGTGTACATTTTATCCCTCCCAATTAAATAAAGGAATTATACTATATATTTTAAATGGACTGGAAAGAGTACTGCCTATTTGAAGGTGGCCTATATTATATGCATTATAATAGATCCAATGCCCTATTCTGGCCTCCACTGGCACTACATATCTTCCATGTATAGACATACATGCAGGCAAAACACTCACACATAAAATAAAAATAAAGGTTAAATTTTTTTAATAAAAACAAATCTATCTTTTAAAAATTATAGATGCCAAATCTAGCTATAATTTATATTTTGAAATGTATTCAATTCATCATATAACCCCCAAAGAAAATTAATATGAACTTTGAACACTAAAACTCAATATTATTATTTATTATACAAATAGTTATCTTCTTTATTGTACAGAATGCAAAAACAAGTATATGAAAAATGAGTAAATGTACTACATGTTTATTATTCTATAAATCAATAACCAAAATATTTTAAGTGATGACTACCTTTAAAGTAAGTTTCTAAACCACAAAAAATAAATGCTATTCTTTATTTCTTTTATTTCCAGAGCACACAATAATGACCTTGCCAATATGGTAACAAGACAGTTAAATATAACCAGCTCCAACAGAAAGGAGAAATTATCACCCAACATGAAACCATTTCTCATTTCTGTGGGCTAACACTTTGAGGATTTAAAATTTATAAACTGCTTCTTTCTGTAGCTTACTTATAAATAAAATTGGGTGGAAAGCAGAGTTGGATGTTATGGTACCATATTCAGCATAGTTTGATCTCTTTAAAATAAGAAGGCACAACAATAGCACATCAAGAACACCAAACTGGCTGGACATTGTGGCACACACCTGTATGCTTAGTAGGCAGGAGACCAGACTGGTGCTCATGAGACCCTGTGAAAGACAGAAAGGAAATAAAGAAATAAAGGAGGGAAGGAGGGAGGGAAGAAAAAGAAAGAAAGAAAGAAAGAAAGAAAGAAAGGAAGGAAGGAAGGAAGGAAGGAAGGAAAGAAGGAAAGAAGGAAGGAAGATGGAAGGAAGGAAGCATTCAGGCTCACAGCTATTTTGTATTTCTTCCTAGCAACTAGAATACAAAATTATAACACATTAAAATATCCAAATGATTGCCTAGCAACGTATTTAGTGCATTTTAGAACCTACTAGGAATAGATACAAATGTAAATACTACAAAATAAAAATTCATAGAGTACACATGATCTGTGTCTTCGAAAGTAATTTTTCAACTTGTAGGCAGGCATTGTCCTCTGACATGTTTTTTTGCAAAATCACTCCATGTTGATAGAACCACATTAAACTCTTCATGCCAACTGAACATTGCCAAAAGGTTTTAGCACAGTAAGATGAAGTATGGCTAGGATCCTAGTGCTCATGAGCTCAAATGAAACCCATGGGCCTGTGCTTCCCATTAAAGAGAGGGTGTGTCTACTACCCAGAGGAGACCCACTGGAGAGGAGGGTACCATGTGGCCCTTGGCTCAAATCCCTCACCTACAGGGGCCTTACCATGGAGAGGCAGATTATTTCACCAACCAGGTTTTGATGGAAACTCAGCTTCACAGGAACTTACTTTGGAGAAGTGGATTTTCTTCTCTTACTATAGGGAAACACTGGGCTGGTCAAGGCTGCCTGTGACTGAAAAAATCAGCCATATATCTAAAGGGTGTGCTCCATTTAGCTACATGAGCAACAAAGCTGATAATTAGGCCACCAGCAATCTGATTTCTAGCTTGCCTCTCAACTGAATCTCAGCTCAGGAAAGGGGTACATATTACTTATTACTTCAACTCTTTTCCTTCCCAAATAAAACCCAAAACACACAACTCAAAGGCAAACCAAATAACCTTTGAATTCCTTTACAAGAGGTTTCATATGGAAATAGACCCATCATCTTTCTCCAAGGAGAAGACTATTTTTTAAAACCATAAAGCTTTCATCACTCTGAAGTTCAGTATCAAAGTGGAACTGTGACTATTTTTACATGCCAATGCAAAAGATTCTACACCTAAGTGTCAGAGACATGGCAACCTAAGTCACAAAAGTATTCATGAACAAATATTTTCAGTATTCTTATTCATAATAGCCAAACACTACAAACTACCTAAATGTTCATCAACAGGAGTTGATGGGGGATGTCCTTCTATATGCTGTGAATATATGTTTCTCTTATTGGTTGATAAACAAAGCTGTCTTGGCTGATGGACAGGCAGAATTTAGCCAGGTAGGAAATCAAAACAGGGATAGAGAAAGGTAGTAGTAGAGTCAAGGAGATGCCATGTAGCTGTCGAGGAAGCAAGAGACCTGGGCATCACCGGTAAGCCAAGACCATGTGGAGATACACAGATTAATAGAAATGGGTTAATAATTAACAGAGAGCTAGCCAATAAGAAGCTTGAGCCATCAGCCAAACAGTTTATAATTAATATAAGCCTCTCTGTGTTTATTTGGAACTGAATGGCTGCCGGACTGGGCCAGACAAAAAAAATTCCAAGAAGGACCATTAATCCATGATTATCTGTGCAATGAAACCTACTGAATAATAAAGTGAAAGGAACTACCAATACAATTATATGAATTTTGACTGTTATGTTGAGGGAAAGATAGCAGACAGAAGTAGAATCATTCCGCATGTTTCCTTTGGCATGAATGAAGTTCCAGAAGAAATAAAAGTAATCGACAATGATAAAAATCATTACAATGCTGCATTTCAGGATAGGAAGCAGCTGGGAAGGGTCATCTGCAGTGCAATGGGAACACTTTTTAACTTGATGATAGCTAAATGAGTATACCCATTTGTTAAAATCCAAACTAATTTCTTAAAAATATGTAATATTATCATACATAGATTTTGCCACTTTAAAACAAGGATAAAATGGAATGAGGACATACAGAGCCTAGGCATCAAATCCTCAGTGTCCAGAAAGAGGGAAGTGGGTGGTCTCTTCAGTGCTACAAGAATAGGATGAGAGGATGGGACAAGAAACAAAGGACACAAACAAGGATGATCAAAGGTAGAATTTAATGATAGACTGACTTAATAGACCACAAATAGATTTACCTATGAAGTAAACATTAATATCAAAGCCCAAATTAGATTTGAAATGGAAGAAACAATTCCCCTTCTTTTAAAAAGGCAAACCATACAATGGAAACTGGAAGTGGAGAATGAAAATTTCTCAACCCTGTGTAGTTTCAGACACCCATGAGAAAACCAACTTTCAGGAGATTTTTTTTTTTACTGTCCATTAGGAACACTATCTTGCATTGCACAGAATATAATTTCCAAATGAGTTTACACTGATATTCCCAATGAATCTTTCTAACATCCTCATTATTCTTCTAAAAGAAAAAATATGGTTCAGAGACACACAATAACTTGTGTAAAGTCATGCAAGGTCCTCCCAAACCCAATCTGATTCTAACCCAAAGTACTTTCCATCATGTCCTACCTGCTTCTCTGGGCAAAAGGACAGACAGCCTTCTTTAATTCAGCCTAGCATAGCTTTGCATTTCTGTGACCCTCTAGAAGTCACCATCTTTTTTCAATGCAGCAAAATCCTGCAGAAACTGGATCATTTCCATTTCTACCACATCCCACAAAATGGGCAGGGGCTATAGTACATTCTACTCTAGAATGCATTCAATTGGTCATATCAGAAACTACAAGTGTGGAGCACAGGAGGACAAGGTGCTGCAGTGAATTTATGGAGCTTCACACATTGCAGTCTGGGCAGCCAACTCTGCAAGTCATCCTGAGAACCAACTAACATATTTTACCCCTGAAATGACCAGAAGAACATAAATCTGAGCAAGCAGACAGCCCCCATAACTGTGCATGCTGCATGATTCTCAGCAAAACGCTACCCCTAACATTTCCCTTATCCTTATCCTAAAACATAAAAGCTCAATATTTTCATTTATGTCCCAGAATTTAAAGATTGGATCAACTCACTTGCCTTCGCATAGTTATATTTTTAAAGAATTTTCATAAAAGCAATTATTGAGTAAATATGTTTAATGTTCCTACAGAAGGGAATAACAATTCTCAAAAATGCAAACCCCTAGCATGCTACGTTCCTTTAATGAAATTTGTATATGAAATATTAAATCATCTAGATAGTTGTTTACAAATCTAAAGACGAACCAGTTTCTAGGCTAAGAAACAAAGCATTGCTGAGATATGCTTAATTTCATTTAAAAAACTTTGCTTGAGAATATAAAATGAAATTGAGTCATGTTTCCAAAGACAAGAGTAATTAAATCAGGAAATTAAGCAGCTGGTGGCATTGCTGCCTGGTAGATTAAGGAGACTCTAAGACATTGCTGTGACAGCTGGCCCCCTGGTCGCCTCTTACCTGGATGCATCTGTTCTGTGCTGCTCCGCAGTTTGCTGTAGCCATGGCTCAAGGACACCCTCTGGTAATGAGGCGGGGAAGAAGGAGGGGAAGCGAGGGGTGACATCGTGGGAGACTGTGATTCCTGCTTCAAAGAACCAGAGCAGAGTTCAGAGGCAACCACTGGAGAAGCCTGGCATTCTGAACTGCAGTTTAAGAAGCAAAATGTGACTCTGCAGCTGGTAACCTGGCTGCTTTAACAAATGGGGAGAAATGGTTCCTCAAAAAGGCAGGATAGCAAAAGGGTAATATTGAGGATTCAAAGTCACTAGGGCTGTGCCACCTAAATTACTAATACCAGCCAGAGACAGTTAGTTCAATAATATTTTCCTTTGGAAAATAAAAGACACTGATCAAATAAGAGAACACTTACAACCCTCAATTGTGGACAGATTCCATTTTCAGTCAATTAATAAATTAATGAGTCTTCCTTCTTAAGACTCCTATTTATTGAATTTATATTCAAGTATAAATCCAGGATATAGAATAAAATTGCTATTTTCAATGTTTAATAGTAGGTATCCTTGGAGCTTACTATACAAAATTAAATGTTAGAGGAGTGGTTTGTTTCATATGGAGAGACTCCAAAACATGGCCACCCCATCTAGAATACTCCAAAATACTAAGAAGAAGCCTTCAGAAGTACAATCACAATCTCAGCTCAATGACAAACCTGATACAGGACACTAGACTAAGGAACAGTCTGAGCCTGGCTTTCCTTCTTTTTTCCACAACCAATAGACTGTAATCATGGGGTACCCAAGGAACAAGGGAATGGTGCTTTTTATAACACAGAGACTGTATTGGCTTCTTTAATTTAAAAACAAATATGCAATCTAAGAAAGAGACTAGACCTGAAAACTCCTGAGGAAATCTGCCACTGTGGGACAGTGAGTCATCAGTGCTGTAGACACATACCAAAGTATACTTATACAAATTACTGTGGCTCTCTAGCATACTACCTAAATAATTCAAGCAATGTTACATAGAGATGTTTAACAAAATGAGCTATGCCTCTTTTAACTACAAACATAAAACTCAGGCCAGGCATAATGAAGCATGCCTATATTCCCAGCATTCAGAAGGCAGGAAGATCATGTAAGCCTGATACCAGCCTGAGCTATACAGAGAAATCCTGTGTCAAAATAAAATAAAATAAAAAATAAACCTGCAACCTTGAATATCCAAGACCATCAAAGTAAACCATGTAAGTTATTTTCTAGTATAACCTTTCTATACTTATTGCATTTTAAAAAGCATCTTGATTCATAGCCAGGCAGCAGTGGTGTACACCTTTAATCCCAGCACTTGGGAGGCAGAAGCAGACAGATTTCTGTGAGTTCAAGGCCAACTTGGTCTACAAAGTGAGTTCCAGGACAGCCAAGACTGTTGCACAGAAAAACCCTGTCTCAACAAAAACAAACAAAAAAATCTTGATTCAGTTCCTCCTAAAATGTAGCATGTTTCTTTACCTTACAGAAGACAGTACTGAATATAATCTGACTTTTCTGCATGACTCTTATCAGAAGTAAGAGTTATATCATGATGTCCTTGGGGTTTACAAATATGAAAACTGTCTCTTCTAAACAGGCCCACTAAATGGCATCCTTTTGTCTTTATTAATCACCACCTGATGACTACAATCAGTGGCCTGATTTTAAAAGCCCATCCTCCAAATTCTGGTTCCAAGCCCACTAAATGGGTAATGGCATTTATTTCAATGTTGTTACACATATGTTTCCCAAGAAAGGGTTCCCTGGTAAGAAGAGTTTGGTAAACACAGATCTCCGGGTCTCTTAATAATAGAACCCGCCTGTTAGTGTGCACTCTTAATTCACAAGGCTGATGACTTAGTCTTTCTCCTATGAACGGGACATGCTGACATACATTCCAAACATGCTTAATCAGAGACTCCTTTGGGGCTTCTTTTTGGAGGGGAGTACTTGCTAACTCCTAGAAGTTATATCTCTTCTCTTTGGTTTTAGCTTTGTTGTTTGTTTCCATGTTGTTTTAGGAGTTACATATCAATGAATCTATTTAGAAAACCACTGACCTAGAGAAATGAAATAAGTGTATTAAATCAACAGCATTGTTAGAGGCACAATTCTATATGAAGGCAGATTCTAAAGGGCCAGTGGGTGGCTAGCAGTAATTCCTATGTGTCAGCTTCTTGTTACAAGAAAACTTTCCTGGCTCACTTCCAAAGCTGTAATTGTGTTCCAGATGGCAAGATTTGCTGGGAGTTTGGCAACAGACCAGACTGTGCTCCATGAGCCTTCATGGTCAGAATCAAATGAACGGCTGAATCACACTCTCACCTGTTTATCCTCATCATCCATTCTTTTGTGGGAATTTTTTTCGGTGGGTAAGTATGGGATCTGAACCTTCTTTCCGTGCAGCTCAGCTGGGTTCCCAAAGCGTATCTCACCATCACTCTTTGACATCCCAAAGCGAGGCAGAGGCAGTTCTTTAGAAGCAGAAGCAGAAAGGCTTAAGTGAGGCCTTATCTTAAAACTGCAAAAGGGGGATCCATTTTTAAGGGAAAATTTCAGAGCACTAAATATAGTTTAAATTTTAGTTCAGGCACAATGGAGACTCCCATAATAATGTCATGAGGAAAAAATGCAATACTTAACCAAGGTATTCCAGCTTAACATTTCCATGCTGCTAAAACATCACAGAGCAAATTCAGGTTTGGGACTGGGTCCCACTTGATACTGCAGAAAAAAAGGATGTGAATTTTATCTAAACAAGAGGCAACAATATCCAGCAAAGCTTATAACCACTTAAATACACCAGATGCAGTGTTCAGGGCCTGTAAATACCAACCCATATATCTTCACAGCAATTCTGTAAGATAAACTAGCATTAGCAACTCACTTTACTGCTGTGGAAACTGGTGTGAAGAAGCTACAGAATGTCCCCCAGGACCACACAACTAATCTCTGGGCAAGACATAGTTTGAACCCAAGTGAGCTGGTTCTTATGAGGGCCCCACATTAATGTCCACCTCCTTCCTGGGGCAAACTTAATGGGTTGAATAGTTTCCCACTTGATATATTCTTTTATGAGTTTTTACTCAATCTCGGGTTACCTATTGATAACATAATGAAGAAAGTGTTATGAAGTTAGAGCAATTGCTCTAACATTTAGCCAGATTCTAAAGTCAAAACCATTGGCCACCCACAATTCGACAAAGAGATGTCTGGTATATTTACTTATCTTTCAAATTCTGACAAAACTCTTCTGAAAATGAAAATGGTGCTTTGGCATGCTTCTAATTCTCAGCATAGCAAGTCACACATAAGCCCATGACACAAAGATCCACACAAATAAGGATAATATTGTGGATTAGGCATAATGATTTGCATCTGTACCATTGTTCAGGAGAATTCCCAGTGTGCCTTTGCACTTCTGTCATCCCTCCACTCCAAAAACACAGCTGTGTTTCCAATGATGGATGCTGTGTTAAAGCCAGGAAACATCTTAGCAACAGCAAGTATGCTACTCCCAAGGCAAAGAAGGCCCCTGGCTCTCTAATAGCCACATGTTTATTTTTAGTTGCTATGTCCACATTTGACTCAAAGAAGTGGGCAATTATGACAAATCCCTGTGGGACCAATCAGCTAAGGGCTCGAGAGTCATAAAGAGATAAATCAATCTGAAAATGTAAAGTGAGATTTCTCTCTAAAGAAAGATGGTCACCATTTTTAATGTTTTAATGTTTCCCAGCCATGGGCAGCTCTCCAGCACTGAAGGCGGAAATGGATTTCAAAAGGAAAAAGGTAAAAGAAACTCCAGAGTCTTAGTGAGTCACACAGAAGCCAGTCCTGTGGTTCTGTTCACAGAAATATCTCTTTCAGCTGGGTCTGACAAATGGATCTAGAAATATAGGACAAGAGCATACAAAATACTTTCTCTACTCTGACTTGCCCATGAGACCATTAGTCTACTTCAAATACTTCTTCAAAAAAAAAATCAAGATTCTTAGTATTTATAAGCTCCCTGGCCAGTGTTTTACTGGCATTTGGTACAGAGAACAATGGAATACAAGTGTAACATTACAAATGTTAACAGCTGTACCAGGACTCCCAGATACCCTTAAGGACAGTGTCATTTCACACATTCCCCCACCTTGGCTATGGGCACATCTCCAGAATCATTTGCCTAGGAAATAAGCTTTCGCCTCCAGATGGACACCAAACAGTGAAAGACAAAATACAGCTGAATTCTTCTGGTACTTTCTTCAGTCCTGTGATTTTTTAAACAACTCTCACTTAGCAGAATTGTAATCATATATCTTACCATGACAGTATCATCTCCCTGAAACTTCTACAAGCTATTAAAAAAGGTAAAAATCTGTAAGTCTTCAGTGTGAGTATTTTTCTTTGTTGTCTGTATACTGAATTCGATAGTGACATTTTATTAGAAAAGTAATCAATAAAGCACCTAGTACACAGTGATGTACGTCGAGTGGACTTACTAATTTTGTGTATCAACTCGACACAAGCTAGAGTCTTCAGAGAAGAGGGAGCCCTCAGTTGAGGTAATGACTCCCCAAGATCCAGCTGTAAGGCATCTTCTCATTCAGTGACAATGGGGGAGGACCCAGACCATGGTGGGTGGTGCCATTCCAGGGCTGGTGGTCCTGGGTTCTATAAGAAGGTGGGTTGAGCAAGCTATGGGAAGCAAGACAGTAAAGCAGCATCCCTCCATGGTCTCTGCATCAGCTCCTCCCTCCAGGATCCTGCCCTGCTTGAGTCCCTGTTCTGACTTCCTCCAATGACTATAACATGGAAAGTCAAATAAACCTTTTCCTCTCCAACTTGCTTTTGGGTCATTGCTTTGTCACAGCAACAGAAACCCTAACTGAGATACTGAGTGATTTCTGTTAGGTCTCAAACCCAGGACAAATGGCTGAGGTGCCTATTTAACATATCAAATCAGGATGGTGTCTGTCAGGTTCTCCCCAGCCTCTCAGCCCCTACTCATTACAGGATGTGGCTGGCATACCCCACTCCCTACCCTAAACTTCTCCAGCTTGCAGGGGGTTCTGGCCTGTCCTTCTGTAACAATCACGGAAGGTCTTTTTGTAGTAACTGCTTAGAATCTTGTCTCCAAACTTAATTAACACATGGGAAAGAAATTAAGAGCAGAAAGTGTTCTTTACTGCTGAGTCATCTCTCCAGTCCCCTAGATTTTTTTTTTTTTTTTTTTTAGGTGATGAGGCTAGAGAGATTGCTCAATGGGTAAAGGCACTTTTCGAGGTAATCATGAGGACCTGAGCAAAAAGAAAAACAACTCCAGAGTCTTGGTGAATCACACAGAAACCAATCCTGTGACTCTGTTCACAGAAAACTGTGTCTTTCAGCTCAGTCTGCAAAATGGATCTAAAACATAGGATAAGAATATAAAAAATGCCTTCTACCTTAGTCCAGCCATGGAAATCTAACTCTACTGCAAGGATTTCTTCAGGAAACTTGGTATTTATAAGCTCCCGGAACCTATGTAAAAACCTGGGCATGGCTGTGTGTGTCTGTAACGCCAGCACTATGGAAGGAGACAGAAGTATCCCAATAAATTGCTGACCAGCTTGTATAGCTGAAAGAGCAAGCATTCTCCAGTTCAATGAGAGATGCTGTGGACAGCAGTAGAGAATGCAGATGACATGGACCTCTACTTGCACATACAGACACTTACATACATGCAACACATACACAGAGGGAGAGAGAGCACAAAAAAGAAAAAGTGAAATAAATGGGTCACAGGAAACAAATACCATATGATTCCATTTACATCAAGAGTAGTAAAATGAATACAAGTAGAAAGATAAAGAATAATTGCCAGAGATAAGGAGTGAAGGGGGAATAGGTGGTTGTTTAATCAGACTTTCAATTTTACAAGGCAAGGTGGGAAATTTCTAGAAAATGCATGTATAATAAAATGAATAGACCTAACACTACTGAATTTCACACATAAAATGGTTAAGATGGAAAATTGTGTGCTATATGAATTTTATAACAAGAATTTTTAATTTTAGATGAAAATTTAAAAGGTCAATTTAAGCCAGGCAGTGGTAGTACACACATTTAATCCCAGCACTTAGGAGGCAAAGGTAGGTGGATCTCTGTGAGTGTGAGGCCAGCCTGGCCTATATAGAGAGTTACAGGACAAACAAGGCTACAGAGAAACCCTGACTCAAAAAACTCAAAATAATTTTAATTATTTTAATCTCATATTATTATTTCAACAAATGACATAAAATTGTGAAGGTTATTGAGATAGAAAAGCTGGAACATAAGCATACTAGCATACTCAAGTCCCTAGGTTTGATTCCTTATATAGCCAAAATATAAGCATATCAAGGAAGTAGTTTACATTTGTTTTTAATGAAAACTCTTCAAACTCATGTGGATAAAGATGCTTGTCATCAAGCCTGACAACCTGAGTTTCATCCATGGAACCCATGTGGTAGAAGGAAAGAACCAACTCACAAAAAGTGTCCTCTAACCTCTATACACATACCATGGTGTGTATCTACAAGCACGTGTACACCCAAGCATGTGTACACACAAACACACAAATTAAATGTAATTTTAATGTTTTAAAGATCAAGGATTCTGTCAAAGAATCCTATAACAAGAATAAATAAATAAATAAATAAATAAATAAATAAATAAATAAATATAAAAAGCACTGTTCATAAGGTTGAAGATGACCTTGGGGAGGGAGGAAGCAACAAAAGAGCTGAGGACCATAATTATGTGTAGAGATGTGGAATGCCTAGAAAACAGAACTTGTCAGCCATACAGTGAGGTATCACTATGCATAGGGAAATCTGTCCAAAGGAGTTCTAGCTCCCCATAGGAAGGCTGAGAGGGGGAGAAGGTATGAAGGGAGCTGCTAAAGGAGCCACTGAATTTTAAAAGAATGGAGATGAATATTAGGTAAAAAGGCTGAATTAACCTCAGCTTAATGGGAGATCCCAACATAAGATTTAGTATTCAAATGTCCAACTCTGCTCAGGAAAGGAATTACACACAACCAGGCTCACTGGGCCACACCCCTACCTCCTGGGATCCTCACTCCACCCCTGGCCATCCTATCCCACCCACCCTAAGGAGTTGTCTTTTCTACAAAGCACCAAACTGGTTGTCCCACTCAAATGATTTATCTTCTAGCTTTCAAAGATAAAGAAGGGTTGCCAAATAAGCAGAGCACAGAGACTACCCCTCCCCCAACCCTCTCAGTTCTACCAGAGAGTCTCTGCTTCTGATTTGTTTTTTGTTTGTTTGTGGGGGTTTTTGGATAACTCTTGAAAAGCCAATGAAACAGGACTCACTGCTCCAAAATCTTACCACTTCACTCAGGATCTAGGGAGGCGGCAGGATTAGAACCCCCCACCATGCCTAAAAAGACTTGCTTCTCATTTTACAGGCAACTTCCTCAGTGTCAGTAC